AGTAAAACTATCAATAAGAACCAATAGTTAGAGATAACAATAAACACTAAATAAAAAAACTTTAAGGAATAAAAATCAGAACAAACTATTATAGAATTATATAAGAACATACCAAATATATTAACACGGTTACTAGTCGAAATTAAGGGCTATCTTCAGAATTTATGTTTCTAAATAGGATCTTCTACTACGTAAGACAAAAGACGTGAAGTTTTCTATTCTTGAAGATGTTTTGTGCATTTAGTTGTTATGGCCGAAACAGAATTATCGTTACCTTTAATTTGTGCTAGAGCTAAAAGATAGGTAATGCTTTTTCCTTTGCCAAATAAAAAAATTAAGGGTGTATATAAAATTAAATAGTAAAGTTTCCAGAAACTGTTTTTCTTTTTTAAGACTAAACCATTTTGTTATACTTAAATAAAACTAGTTAGATATAATAGTATAACTCAGCCCATATTTAAGGGTCTACGGCAGCGAAATTAACTTCGAGTAAAACAATACCTGAAAGAGGATATGAAAATAAACCCCAAGGTGGTAGTGGAAATTATTAGAGTCTCCTGTTTATAACGTGTTATGAAATAATATAGCAAGAACAGTGTAATTAACTAGAACTTAACATAGGGAATAATAATATTAGAAGAGAGGAATTCTTCTATTTTCAACTGTATGGAATAGGTTCATCAGTGAACCTATTTATAGAAATATTATGTTGTTACACAACCAATCCAAAAGTTGTTATGAATACATAACCGATCCAAAACTTGTCATGTATAACACAAATATAATATTTTGCTTCAATATTCTTTGACTCACATATATGAAATAATGAAAGTGAGCATTCCCCTATCTCCTTCACCCTTTCTTTCCTTCTTGGGCCACACAAGCAACTGCCATCTATCTAACTTCGACATCGAAGAATTTGTTTTGGGCCAGCTGAGACCTCAAACCAATCCAACTTTTTCCTATAAAGATCAAAGAAAGTTCACTAATTCTTTGTACTGTATAATTTATCGACTCCTACTCGCGTATATATAGTGTTGAACTAGTAAAAAGGCTGCAGTTTTTAGCCACAAGCCTTGAAAGTTTTGAGCAACATCCTGGAAAACCAAGAATTTGCACTCTGAGGTCCCTTTTGAGGTTTATTCAAAGTTATGCCCCGCGCTTGTTCAAAGTTATCTTCACCCAACACAATTTCTTCAAAGTTATGCCCGACTCTAGTATAACTCTAGATCTTTATACAAATGGCGGATCCATGAAATTACACCCAATGACCTTGAAAACAAATGATCTTGATTTTTTAACCTCCGCTTGCCTCACGGTTAAATCTTTAAGCACAAAAGTGTTAACAATGGGACAAACGAGGGGAGCAGTAGTTAAACTTGAAGTTCTGCCCATAGGCCAAGCGAGGTCAAAAAATCAATAGCGGCACCAAAGTGTCCTATTTGTGCAAATCACCCTGGCCGATCGGATACACAGTTTACTTTTGTAGCCGTTATACAAAATTATACACTAATTACACATGATTATATCCATAAATGATCCTTTTTGTGCAAATCTACCCCTGGAAATTGCATGGGAGGAATTCAAAAATAGTCAGATTTATAAGTGGTAATTAAAAAATAGCTACAGTTTCAAAAGTAATCGAAATTTAGCCACTTTTCATGTAAAGATAAATCTGAACGAAAACATTGTTCAAAATCCGGAAAATAGTCCAGCATAATATACTGGAGTTCTAATATATTATACTGGAGTTTCAGTATAATATACTGTAACTCCAGCATATTATACTGAAGTTCTAGCATAATATACCTGTCCAACATAATATGCTAGAAGTTCATACATGGTGCTCCAATCTCCAGTATATTATGCTGGAACTTTCCGCGTGTTGGAGTTCCAGCATAATATGTTGGAAGTTCATACACAGGTGCATCAATCTCCAGTATATTATGTTAGACCGATCCGTGTTGCAGCAAAATAGTGGCTATTTTTCAATAACTTTGCAAACGCTGACTATTTTTCAATTACTAATCCGAAAACTGGCTAGCCCGTGCTATTTTTACAAATTGCATGAATTGGATTTTAAAGAGGGGCATACAAACAACATGGGCCTTTCCCCAAACTGGGGAACTATCACAAATGCCACATTCAAAATGGCACCAATTAGATAAAATCGAACCAAATCCAATAGGAGAGTCACCAAAATTTATCAGCTTTTGTATCCTTTATTATTGTCATTATCCTTTTTGAGTGTAATTCATGTATCAATTGGTTATTCATCTGACATACTTATGGAGTGAACTTAGAAACAAGGTGTTTGACATGTGAGAAGATATATTTTGAATCCATATCAATATCAATATCAATATCAATATCAATTAATTAAGTCCATAAGAAGACATTCAGTTCGAGAAAGAGGTATATTTAAAGACAAATTACACTATTAACGTAAACAGACAATAGGAGCGTTGGTTTTGGGATGATAGCATCTTTGTCGGTTGGAAGCATAATCCTTGTTCTTCTATTTTAGCTAAATAATTATAGCTCTGCACTCCGGGAACTGTGAATAATGAACAATTATTTATCTATATATCGTAACAACAAAAATAGTACGTAGTAGTAAATTTCACAACCCTCAACACTAATCTAGAATTTAAAAGTGATAGGCCAACACTATCGAATAAAAATCGAACTGAAACAACATATTAAAATTTAAGTTGTGTCCCTAAATTGACCGTTACAATAGTTCAATATTTAAATTGTAGGATATTAATTAAAATATATAGTATTTGTTATATATATATNCCTATAGACATCTCCATTAGCTAACACTTCAGTGAGAAATAGTTTATTTTTGTAAATGGTTAATTTTTAAAAGTGATTAAAATATAATAAAAAACATATGTATGACAAAGGCAAAAAGGAATAAAGGCAAAAGAGTAGACAGGATAAGGGCAAAGTTAGGGGACACGTGAGAACCGATGGGAAAAAATTTTTTGGCTAAGTTAAAGCATAGAGAAAAAAGCATGTCACAAAAGAAGAAAAGATGGAACAGATGTTTTATAGTTTGGAATTATGCTCCTTTACATACTTTATTTAATTTTTCAAAACTTTTTATGAGACTAAATTACCACGATTAATCTCTCCATCTACTGAATCACTTTAATTTTTTGTTTTTAATTTAAATCACTTTTCATTAAAAAAAATAACAAAAGATAGCTCGGTACATAACATATTCTATATTCATACTAAGACCGGAAAGAATCGCACTTCAAAAAATATAATATAAATATTATACATTAATAAAAATATTAATAATTATTTTTACGGTCCGTGTTCTATAAATCAGAACAACTTTACTACTCCTATTATTTCAAGGCGGGAAAAGCAAAGAGAAAGAAAGCAAATACTACTACGAGACAAAGGAGGAAAGAGGCATTGGTTTTTTGAGAAATCCAACGAGGAGCATGTCATATATGATATATGTCAGGAATTCAGAAAACACTCCACGCAAGTTGTGTTATTATTAATTTTGGTTGTTGATAGTCGAAAAAATATATAAAATTTATATAATTTTAATATATAATATAATATATATATATATATATATATATATATATATATAATATAAATTTTATATATTATTTTAACTATTGCTTTTACAAACTTCTATACATAGTATCGTTATTCCACGCAAGTTTGCATGAGATATCTTCAGAGATTCGTGCCCTACCCTCTTACTGCTACTGGTCAGCTTTGTATTTTCTTGATTTAACTTATCGAATAAGTCCAAAGTTTTTGAACTTTGAAAGTACTGATAGGGTTGGCTTCCTTTTTCAGGACGACGGTAGATGGCATCCAATGTTTAAATTAACTCAATTTAGACGTCAAGATATTTTAATAAGCAAAGTTTGAATTGGATAATGTTAAATCTTTTGAAAATTAACTTTTCAAGTTAGTACTTTCATACTATAATAAGTTAGAGCAATAATTTAAATTCAAAGGTTTTTGTGTCACTAAATTTTGGGAAACTGCACAAGTTATAATAAGACAATTTGAAGATAAACTGATTGAGAAGGTAAGACATGTAATTGTGCTGTGACCTAACTCCAACAGAGGGAGAACAAATGAGTCATTTGGATATGGTGTTCATCTCATTAAAAGAAGACTATGCCTAAATATTTGGATGGTTTTAAGTTTTATACATCATTAGAGTAAATAAAAAAAACTAACAGTATTAGTTCACCAATTAAAGTCACATTAGGGAACTTAGCTATAAATAATCTTCAGTAACCTGGTAAAGTAAAAAAAAAATGATTTACACTGACTAACAGTATATATATATATATATATATATATATATATAGCTTAAACACTATTTGGATGACCAAAACAATAGTATTGATTACTTCATCAGTTCACTTTTACTTCTCTATTTTATCTTTATCATTAACTACTCATTTCTTAAATTATTTTTCAACATTTTTAGAAATGCTATTATTATTTTAGGTAAATTTTGGTCGGGGTTAGTGAGAGGATTTTTAATAAGGAAATCAATACATAAATAAATATTACTCCTACAATGCAAAACCTAATCTAATACTAGTCCTTACAAACATCCAAATTTCCCTTCCCACGTTCCCACATCAAACTCTACTTTTCTTGCACTTCCAGATAAGGTCATCTTTTCAAATACCATTGACATCAACATGAGATTTCTTTTTTCATTTTAGCGAAAATGACCTTTTAACTCACGCGAATACGAGCACTCATGCACAAGTGAAGGGCTAAATTTTTTTTGAACTAAAGTATCAATTAAAATGAAATGGAAGGAATATAATAAGTAGTTATCAGATTAATTAGTAAATTTTAGTCGTAAATACCAAACATCAACTAAGGAAAAAAAAAAATTGGCCAGGGCTAGTGTGAAAGCTACAAACTTCCAAACATTATGGAAACATAAGAAGATAAAATGATTAATCCAAAAGCTATTGAAATAAAACTTGAACAACATGGCATTACCTTACAAACTTCAAATCCCATACAACACAAAACACCTTAAACCCAACCCCAACCCCACCCAACTAATTTAACAAAGCAAATCCTAGGTCTAATAGTCCTAATCCATACTCCCCTTCCCCACATCAAACTCTATTTTTCTTGCACTTACAAATTAAATAAGATCCTCTTCACTCACCACCAATGTCAAATGTCATTGACATCAATATATGAGCTTTTTTGCTCCATTTTAGTGACAGAAAATAACCTTAAGCTCATGCGGAGACGAGCACTCATGCATAAGTGAAGGGCTATCATGAGCATAAGTAAAAGTAGCAGGACAAGCATGCTTAAAAAACTCGGAATAACTCGAACCCTTACAAGTCTGTGGACTATTAAAATGATTCCTACAACAGAGTTCATCAGTTTTAAATGCCTCACACCCACTCTTACACCCAACAACTGGTCCATGTCCACCATGTGACCTTAACTGCAAAACTGCTGGACAAGTTTGCAAAATTTCAGCCCTGCACCCAACCACTGGACACTGTCCTTTACCTGTTACAAAAAAAAAAAGTAAGAAAAAAAAAAAGGAAAATCTATACTGTATAGATAGCCATGCTCTAAAATAATAGTCCGACAAATATAATTTTTTTATATTTAAAAAACAAAAATATGCGAAATTTGAACATAATTAGTGTATATTTGACAAGCAGTGATAATTATTTTCAGTCCAACGGCCAACTGCGTTAAAAGCCTAAGAAAAACGCTTTCAGCATGAAAACAACCTTTCTTAATAGAGGTTGTCTACAAAATTTAGACAAATCTCTACATAATATAATAAAGTAACAGTATATTACAAATTAGCTTAGTCACTTCTCATAAAAAGCCTAAATGAAAATAGTTTAAGAGACTATTCGGAATATTCATATTTCATGAAGAGACATAATTAAAAATTATGTAAATAAGAAATATTTATTTTTAAGATTTTGAATAAAAAGTTTTAAATAAAAATAAAGAACTTTCAAATATTCCAGTTGTAATATATAAAGCTTCCAAACTCATTTTTACCTTATAATGTGACATCCTACTTTATATATAGCTGGATTTACGTTGTATTTACACTTTTAGCAGGCATTATGCCAAGTTTTGGAAGATTTTTTTTTTGAAGTGTTTTCAAAATGACATAATAAATACAGTCAAACTTCTCTATAAAAATATTATTGTTTCATTTTTTTTGTTGTTATAGCGAAATAATGTTATAGAAAATATATATTATAACATTAGCATGAAAATTTATTGCATAAAAAATTTAACTTTTATAGTGAATGACTGTTATAGAGTGATACTATTACACAGAGAACTTTGAATGAAATTTTTTTTTAGAGGTTACTAAATTCTTACTTTTCATGAATAATTACTTGAAATATACTACGTTTTTTGTTGTCTTTTTTTTCACGATACATAAAAATTAAACTCTATATTACAAATTAATTTAGCATTACCTTCGTGTGGAGTTACAGTTAGAGGAATATTGAAACCATCGACAAGGCTAACACCATAAGACGAGAAATCAGCATGTCCATGGTGTAGAACAAACTGTGCCAACGTGGCAGGGGTGGCCCCACCAAGTCCATCACACTCTATACGGCCCCCACAGTCGCCGGTGGCGCAGTTGAACTTACCGTGAGCGTAACTACAGCCAGTTCTAGCCCAGATTCTACCGGACCAGTGGGTAGTCGGTGCAGCAAAAGAGCGGTGTGTGAGTGTGTGAAGTGCAAAGCCGCCGCGTTCGAGAACTGGGTGTCCGGCATTTGGTTGAATGGCTGGCCAGATAGTGTAAGGACAGTTGTTAACTAGGGTTAGAATTAAACCAGAGTAAGTGGCTTGAGAGAGAGCACAAAGGGTTAAAAAGAGAGAGAGTGAAAGTAAAGTTTTTGTAGATGAAGAAGCCATGGTTAGTTTTTGACTGATGCCAAATGGTTGATAGCTGAGTGGTGTTTATATAGGGGGGAAAGTGAAGTAGAGAGAGAGAGAGATGACAAAATTGTCCATTATTTGTGTTTTTTGTTTCAAATCGACTATGTTGAGGATCTATCAGAAATAATTTTAATAAAAGTAAATAAATTTTGCGTATTTACTTTTCTCATACTCTATTTGTGGAATTATATCGAATTTGTATTGGTTTTACGCCCGATATCAGATAGAGACTCCCACTTAATTTGAATATACACTAAGATCCATTGAAAAAATATTCTTTCAACCTGATTTTTTTCAATCTTATAATTTGAATCCGAGAGCTTTAATTAAAGGTGAGAAGATATAACTCATCTCACCACAACTTTAGTAGGACAAAGTTTAGTAGTACGAGATGACGAAATTGTCCATTGTTTGTTCGTTCATTGAAACTAGAATAGCAATAGTAAAAGGGAAAGTGTGTGCTGGTTTTGAGGCAAGTAAAGTCCTTGAACGATGCGACTTTCTGACTCGGAAAAGATTCATTTTTTTTCAAAGGGAAATGAGAGTTGCTATTATCGTCTTTGTTTATTTATTTAGAAGTAAAAGGAGGAAATGGGATGAGACTATTAACTGACGAACTAGTGTCCTATAATTTATTGTATTTCACTGAGGAGTATTCTTTTCTATTCTTTGGGTTTTCCTGTTGTTAAGTATGAAAATCACAGGTTCACTAAAATTCGAAGTTGTGATACTATGATCTCTTGATCAAATGCCGAAATTCGCTATCTTTATTTGCATTATCTTATGTTGAAATTTATGCAGATCAAACTTTCTCTATTTAACTTACCTTTTACTCTCTCCGTTCACTTTTACTTGGTATATATACTAAAAATAAATTTTTATTTTTACTTGTCACTTTACGCATATCAAGAGAATACAATTTTTTTTTTCATATTACACTCACAATATTTATTACTCATTTCGAATCCCTTTCTCAAATCCAATAAATATGCATCAATTAATATTGGTATCATGGTAAATTATGCACTTCATTTATTATTTCTTAAGAGGTGTGAAAAATCAAAATATGCCAAGTAAAAGTGAACGGAGGGAGTAATATATAGGAAGAAACAATTTGAGGACTGAGGAAAATGTTAATAGTGAAATCTCAAAATCTATTGAAAAGTCCTTTAGAATTGATTACTTTTTATACATACTCCCTCTGGTCCATAATAAATGACTTTTTAACCTTTGTTGTGTCCCTTAAAAAAATACTGACTCCTAGAATAAAAATATATTTTGACTGAATTATCCTTAATTAAAATTTATATGTTGTTAACTTGACACGTTGAGATATGTAAATAAGGGCAAATTTTAAAAAAATAAAGTTAATTCCTTCTCGATTATATAAAAGGACACTTATTTTGGACCAAAATAAAAGCAAAAAAAACCACTTAGAGAGAGTAGTAGACAAGGTTATCTTTTCACTTTAAAATAGATTTGAACAATTAGAGGTATATGAAAATATTTTTGGTTTTCTATTTAGCGGTAAAAACTGAGATCACTAGTTGATGGAAATTTTAAAAAATATTGCCTTCATCTTGAAAGCTCCTTAAATCATAATAATCAACTCGATATTGATAGTTTAGATTTAATTTCTGAATCAAAAATATTAAGAAAAATAGTACAATTAGAAGATAATAATTTAATTGATATACTCAATCAAATAAAAATATTTGATTATTTTTCAAATGCCTATATTACTTATAGAATAATGTTAATAACTCCTATTACCGTTACTTCAGCGGAAAAAAGTATTTCAAAATTAAAATTGATAAAACCTTAACTAAGATCAACAACGTCTTAAAGATATTAAATGAATTAACTATATTGTCAATTGAGAAAGACTTATTATGAGAAATTAATTATAAAAAATTAATAATAACTTTGCATCTAAAAAAAATTAAAAAAATAAACTTCAAATAAAAATAAAATACTTTTTATTAATAAAAAGTTAAAGTTTCTCGTAAAGTTTGACTTTAGGCCACGATTTGGCCGCCCCAGATTGCATACATTTATTGATAGCGAGGATAAACTTTCTAATATATAAATATAAAAGAAGGCTTCATATCTCAATTATTGATTCAAGTTTCCTCTTTTGTTTAGTTTTAAAGGAGCAAGGGATGGGTCCATAGACATGAGTCAAATTCGTTGTATGAACAGAATTATGGGAAACAGAAAAAGCAAAAAGGACGTTAGGCCAGGTCTTTGAATATCTCAATAATTTATGGACTAAGGTTTCATTTATACAGTCTATTTTTCGTGGTCCACTACTTTAATTATGCATGGCATGAAACTATACCTCCTAATCGGGCCGGGCTGATTATTGGGTGATTAACATTTACTGAAACTATACCTCCTAATCGGGCCGGGCTGATTATTGGGTGATTAACATTTACTGAAACTATACCTCCTAATCGGGCCGGGCTGATTATTGGGTGATTAACATTTACTGAAACTATACCTCCTAATCGGGCCGGGCTGATCCGTCTACAATTCGGTTCAGTCCGATACTGTAGCGTAGGGGCGGGCTGGGATGAATTAGGCGGGGAACGGGTTTCAAACGAACAGTTTTTTTATACCGGTGCACCGAAGCCCGCTAAGCCCGTTAACCCGTTAACGGGTTGTTAACGGGCTACAGCCCGGTTCAGTCCGATTTTTAAAGTTTTTTTTTTTTTGACCGTTGCCGACGGTCAAATTCAAATATGACCGTTGGCCAATGGCCCTTTTTTGCAGAAATGGTCATTTCGGTCTACCCCTTAAGAAAATAGCCCCCACACCCCTAGTATTTAATAAATTATAATTTTAACCTTTTAAGAATTATAAATAGCCCCCCTTCTTCTTCATTTTTCCTCACAATTCACTCTCTTACTACTCTAATTCTCTCTTGATATTATTGATTATTCTTCTTAAATTCTCAATTACTTATTATTTCAAGTTTTATCAAATATTTAGTTTAGCCATTACAAAATTATTATTATCAAATATCAAGTATTCAAGTGAAGTGTGGTATCAACTATCAAGTATCGATCTATCAATTGAAGTTTGGTTTTTGATATCAAATTTAGTGCGGCATCCGGAATCCCGGTACACTCGTTCTATATCTTTCTCTTCTTTGGTGTACATTTATTTTATTATTTATAATTATTAATTTAATTTATATAATGGATATATTTAGAGCAGCCAAAAAAGCGTGCACTAGTAGAGGTGGTAGTAAGAAAACTTCCAAAAGATCAAGAGGTGGTGCGTGTTCTTCTAGTAGCTTTACACATATTTCTGAAAGTTCACGTGAAAATTTAAATGTAGATTATGAGGAATTTCAAAAAAATTATGGTATAGATGATGATTTAGATGATAATTTAGATGATATTGCATTTTCATCACCCGATAATCTTGAAACACCACCAGCTACACCTGGTAATGCTAGTCAAAACTCAAAATATTAGGGGTGGAAGTCGTGGTAATACAAGTAGGTCTCTCCTCCCTATTAAGAAGAATCGAAGATTAAGAAGTAAGTGTTGGAATTTTTTTGACAGACTAGAAGAAGATAAAAATTATGTAAGATGTAGAATTTGTAAGGATATTTATAAACATGAGACCGGTAAGGGAGGGGGAACGGGTCAACTTCGTAGGCACATGGTAGACAACCACCCTCTTGACTGGGGAGTAGATGAGGAATATGGGCAATAAAAACTTAACCCGGGTACTGGAGGATTAATGGGTAAATACGATATTAAGAAAGATCAAGAAGAATTAGCTAAAATGATTATTTTAGGTTGTTTACCTTTTAGTTTTGCTGCTGCACCATATCTTGTTACTTATATTCAAAGAATTTATAACCCTTTGTTTAAAGGTATTCCTAGAAGTACTTGTAGAGCTGATATCTTTAGGCTTTTTAGACAATATCAAACATATATACGTTATTTATTCGCCAGTCTTTCTTGTAGAATTTCTCTTACTTCTGATATTGGTCGTGCTGTAAATGGTAATGATTATTTGACTGTTACATGTCATTGGATAGATGGTAATTTTTGTATGCAAAAACGTATTATTGCTTTTAAATATGATGAAGATCAAAGTCATACTGGTGCATTTTATAAGTAATACTATCCATGAAGTTGCTATATTTTATAATCTTGTAGAAAAAGTTTTGTGTGTGTCATTTGATAATACTTCTAACAACAATGCTGCTATTACAATATTAAAATTGCATCTACACCTACCACTTCCTGAAATATTTCATGTTAGACGTGCATGTCATATTTATAATTTGATTGTGAAGAGTGGCCTTGAATTATTTAGAGATGATATCACTTTAGTTAGAAGAGTTGTTGGTATAATTCAAGAAAATAATAGAAGTGCTAGATTAAATGCATTTACAGAAAAATGTGTACATTATGGACTAAAATCAAGACTCATACATGAAGAAATAGTTACTAGGTGGAATTATACTTATTTATTCTTAAAATGTTGTTATAAATATAGAATGCCTATAACTGAAGTTGTTAATTCTCATTGTACTGATCCTAGTCGTTTGTTAACATCTAGAACTTGGGATGTCATTGAAGATGTTGTAAAGTTTTTACAAAAATTTTATGTGGCTA